GCGGACCGCGAACGGGCTGTAGCCCGGCCCTCCCGCCGCCGTCAGCGCCTGGCCCACCTGGGTCTGCGTCAGGCCCAGAGACAGGCGTCGGATCTTGAAGTTCTTGGCAAACTCCCGAATCTCCTCCAGGTTGATGCCGTCCTCCTCCGCGCCCGCGTGTGGAGCCTGAGGCTCTGGGGTCGGGAGGGGAGGACTGTTAGGAAGCGCTGTGTCCTCCGCGTCCCCCCATCCGGCCGGGCGCCATCGCCTCCCCCCACCTGGGTCTGCGTCAGGCCCAGAGACAGGCGTCGGATCTTGAAGTTCTTGGCAAACTCCCGAATCTCCTCCAGGTTGATGCCGTCCTCCTCCGCGCCCGCGTGTGGAGCCTGAGGCTCTGGGGTCGGGAGGGGAGGACTGTTAGGAAGCGCTGTGTCCTCCGCGTCCCCCCATCCGGCCGGGCGCCATCGCCTCCCCCCTCCAGAGGGATCTCCAAGGGGGGGCAGATGCTGCCTGTGGCTGCCACGTCCCCTCAGGTTAGGGTCCCACTGGGCGGAGAAACGGCCCCTGCCCCAGGGCGCTTACAGTCTAAATAGGCAAGCGGTGGAAGGGGAAACTGAGGCAGGACGCTGTCCTTTGGCTTATTCTCGGGATGTGTCTCAGACAGCAGGCCGTCGGGACAGGGGTATGCTCGGTAAGTGGGCACCGGCGTCATGACAGAAATAACAACCTTAACACCGCCTTTAAGAACATACGAACGGCCAGAGGGGGTCAGACCAAAGTCCAGCTAACCCAGTGTCCTGTCTGCCCACAGTGGCCAATGCCAGGTGCCCTAGAGGGAGTGAACAGAACAGGGATCATCGTGTGATCCTCCCGTCGCCCATTCCTAGCCTCTGGTAAACAGAGGCTAACGGCACCATCCCTGCCCATGCTGGCTGATACCCACTGATGGACCTATCCTCCACGTAATTATCTAGCTCTTTTTTGAACTCTGTTAAAGTTCTGGCCTTCATAACATCCTCCGGCAAGGAGTTCCACAGGTTGACTGTACATGCGTGAAGCAGTACTTCCTTTGGTTTGTTTTAAACCTGCTACCTATTCATTTCATTGGGTGACCCCTACTTCTTAGGTTATGGGAACAAGTCAATAAGAACAGGCTTTTTCAGGCTTTTCCTCCCCACCGAAAAGAAAAGCTGCCACTTTGCTTTCAAAACCACACCGGAAGCTTCACCCTGCATGCACCAGTGACCCTACAATAACAGCCCAGCACGTGTAGCGCAGAGCTTGCCGGCGACCCTACCCCAACAGCCCAACGTGCGAGTACAATACGGGCTCCCTGTCCTATACTCTAACCAGTAGACCCTGCTTCCTCTCTTATGAGCACCAGGAGACCCTCGAGGGCCTCAAACATGCTTTGATTCCTCCCAGAGGAGCACACGCTACCTGCCCCCTCCCCGCCAGCATGAAATGGGCAAGACCCGAGAGGTGCTTACTGGAGACCAGCTGGCTCACTGTCGGGGTCTCCGAGCAGGTGATGGGAACAGGCACAGAGGAGGGCTTAGCGGCGGGGGCTGGGTTTGCGATGACCACCGCCGGCTGGGACAGAGCAGGGGCAGGCTGGATTGGCTGAATCTGGGGACATAACAAACAGCACGGCTCAGATGAGGGCCATACCGATATCTCTCCCTTAGAGATGTGTGCGTCTGTCTGCGCGTCCCTCTGTCTGTCTGCGAGTCCGGTTGTTCAAGAACGCCTCTTAAATGGTAAGAATGAGGGCCACCAACCTGGGCAGGCAGCTTCCTTTTCTCCTAACTACACGCAAGGTCACGGTTCGGTTGTGCCAGGACAACGGGATGTGCCTGGAATGGGATTGCTTTCCATCACATGGAAAGGGAGGGGGCTGACTGGAGGGATGCAATACTGCAGAGTGACCACTGGGGGGCAACATGTGCAGGGGAGAGCTGTACTGCAGCCGCACCAGGAAGGAAGTGGCCAGTGGGGGATGGGGCTCTGCCATCTTGCTGGCCACTGGCCCAGGTAAGTGGCCTCCCTGTCCCAAAGCACGGCCCCAAAGCCAGACCTGGTGGGGGAAACCCCGCCGGCACCACTGGGGCTGGGCAGCGCAGAGCAGAAGTCGCAGCCTGCTCCCCCAGCGCCGCATGGTCCCTGCTGCCCCTGGGCTGGTCCCAGGCAAGGCCGGGTAAGTCTTTAGGAAGTGTATATAGTCCATATGGATCGACAGTGGCGGGGCTAATCTCTCAGCTGTGGAAACGCCCTGGCCACCCACCCCCCAGGAGCAGGGCAGGGAGAACTGTGCTCCAGCATCCCCACGTTTTACATGGGTTCCCGGCTGCAGGCAGCCCCGCGCCCAGGGTCTCAGCTGCCCCACACCCAGGACTGCAACTACCACCAGGGCTCTGCCTCCAGCCCCACGCCTGCCCCCAGCCCTGCCCGGGTTCTCTTCTCCCCACGACACGGCTCTCTTCCCAGCACCAGCGATGGGGGCGGGCGAGTGGCAGCTCGGTGCAGCCAGAGGATGGGGCTGGCCGCCGGGGCCAGGGCTGACCGTGCCTCGTTGTCCTGCCCCGGTGGTAGTGTGTACCACCTACGCAGCTGTGTATTCTGCGTCTGCGCAAGGACGGCCCTGGCTGCAGGGCAGAATCTGGCCCATAGAAAGGCAACCGGCACAAGCGATTTGCAGCCAAAACTCTTCCATTCCAACATGCCCACGTCACCCACCTCCCCCGGTCCCTGGGAGCGGTCAGGTGCTGGCCAGCTGCTGCGTGTGGCCGCAGACCCCTGCCGGTTAGATGTCCAAGAAGAGGCCACCTTCGGAGCTCACCTCGTTCTTTGCCGGGGACTCCGGGGCGCCAGGTTTCCTGATGGCCGCCGTCTGGATGGGGCTGCTGGCTAAGGTCGCGATGACTTGCCCTTGGGCGTTCAGCAGCAGCTGCGGGGTCACCGCCTGTACCTGCAGGTTCTGGGCCGGCAAGGCAGCAGGGGCGGGGCTGGCCGTCGTGATGCCAGCCGGGTTCACCACCCAGGGCAGTGTCCCAATGACCTACCGAGCAGACAAGAAGAGGACCTAGATGCAGGGTCCCCTGTGAGCTGTACGCTTAGGCGGCCCCCCAGGAGAGATTCAGGTGCTGCCCAGCAAAAATAGAGCCCCCCTCATCTAGCAGCATGTGTTTCTTCAGGTGGTGCACATCTGCGCCTGCCTCGGTGCACAGGGCAAAATTTATTCTACACGTGGATGGGGAACGTGAGAGGGAACATTGTCTGGGTGCATGGCATGCCAATATCCGTCCCCCCCATCTCTTCCTGCAGGATGCGAGACGCTGGCTGGGGTGGGCAGCGCTCTGGGGTGGGGGACTGTGCACGGCTGGCAGGGGCGTGCTCACAGGCTCCAGGTCTGATGGCCACATAGGGGGTCAGGAAGAAATTTCCTCCTGGTCGGATTGGGAGGGACTTTGATTTCACCTTCCCCAGCAGCATGGGCCACGGACATTAACTAGGGTCAGCTGGGCGTATCTCACTTACTCAATGCCTGGGCACCGCTGCTCCAGTTCGGCTCCATGGGAACTGTAATACTTGGATCCTATTCTGGTTGTCAGGCTCAGTATGCAGGAGCCCGGGGCACCTTGGGGGTTGCAAGGCCTGGGGCAACCCCTCACTCCAGTGCCCCAGGTGTGGGGCCCAGGGCCCATTGCCCGAAACCCCCTCTCTTGAGAGATGTGACCTGGGCGATTCGTGGGAGGTCAGACTCAAGGCAGCAGAAGGGGTGG